ATGTACAGCACTCAGTATTTAGTTGGGCCTCCTTTGGCCTGTATTACTGCAGCAATGCGGCGTGGCATGGAGTCGATCAGTCTGTGGCACTGCTCAGGTGTTATGATAGCCCAGGTTGCTCTAATAGTGGCTTTTAGCTCTTCTGAATTGTTGGGTCTGGTGTATTGCATCTTCTTCTTCACAATACCCCATAGATTTTCTATGGGGTTAAGGTCAGGAGAGTTTGCTGGCCAATTAAGAACAGGGATACCATGGTCCTTCAACCAGGTACTGGTAGCTTTGGCACTGTGTGCAGGTGCCAAGTCCTGCACACAAGGAAAATGAAATCTGCATCTCCAAAAAGTTGCTCAGCTGCAGGAAGCATGAAGTGATCTAAAACTTCCTGGTATGTGGCTGCGTTGACCCTGGACCTCAGAAAACACAATGGACCAACACCAGCAGATGACATGGCACCCCAAACCATCACTGACTGTGGAAACTTTACACTGGACTTCAAGCAACGTGGATGAAGTGCCTCTCTTCTTTTCCTCCAGACTCTGGGACCTTGATTTCCAAAGGAAATGCAAAATTTACTTTCATCAGAGAACATGACTTTGGACCACTCACCAGCAGTCCAGTCCTGTTTCTCTTTAGCCCAGGCAAGACGCTTCTGACGCTGTCTGTGGTTCAAGAGTGGCTTGACACAAGGAATGCGACAGCAGAAACCCATGTCTTTCATACGTCTGTGTGTGGTGGTTCTTGAAGCACTCACTCCAGCTGCAGTCCACTCTTTGTGAATCTCCCCCACATTTTTGAATGGGTTTTGTTTCACAATCCTCTCCAGGGTGCGGTTATCTCTCTTGCTTGTACACTTTTTTCGACCACATCTTTTCCTTCCCTTCGCCTCTCTATTAATGTGCTTGGACACTGAGCTCTGTGAACAGCCAGCCTCTTTAGCAATGACCTTTTGTGTCTTGCCCTCCTTGTGCAAGGTGTCGATGGTCGTCTTTTGGACAACTGTCAAGTCAGCAGTCTTCCCCATGATTGTGTAGCCTATAGAACTAGACTGAAAGACCATTTAAAGGCTTTTGCAGGTGGTTTGAGTTAATTAGCTGATTAGAGTGTGGCACCAGGGGCCATCAATTTTGAACCTTTTCACAATATTCTAATTTTCTGATATGATGAATTTGAGATTTTCATTTGTTGTCATTTGTAATCATCAAAATTAAACAAAATAAACATCTGAAATATATGAGTTTGTATGTAATGTATGAATATAATATACAAGTTTCACTTTTTAAATGGAATTACTGAAATCAATCTACTTTTTCATGATATTCTAATTTTATGACCAGCACCTGTAAAAGAATCTTATTGACCAATGATTTTTTTAAACCTAAATAGTAGTTCAAGAGATTTAATTGGTTTGAAAAAAAAAATAACTCATATTAAACAGTAAAGGATCCAGCCAGATGTCGGTACTGCTATCGATTTTCCATCAGTCCTACTCCCTTAGCTGTCGTGTTATGTATACAGCTATGAGTACAATGAATGTTAATAGTGTTTAAATCTGGAGAGACACACAAGAAGAAAAGCTGCAATCAGAAAATTCAATTCAATTCTATTTATTTACACAGCACCAACCCACAACACCTGCCACCCCAGGTTACTCCACAGAGAAATTGTTGTAGTTCTCTTTTATATTTACATGTTAAATTATCCTTAAGCTCAGTTCTGTGTGTTTGTGCCGCAATGTGCCACTGTTCTGTGAAAGAGGTACACATCCCGTTACTTGTTCATATAGTTTTTGTGATATCTAACTAATCTTACCTATTTAAATATAAATAGAAGTGATCCATTAAGGATTACAGTCAATAAACCCAGTATGTTCTGTAAAATGATGAACAATAGCAGAGGTTTTTATGCCTGTTTTCAGTTGGTATGTTGACTTTTCATTCCAGGAGCTAAGTCTTTATTACTGTGGACAATGCTCCCTTCAATGTATTTCGTTTTCCTACAAAAGAAATTGGCTAGCTCCAACCTAAAAGTGCAATAATATTAAGAAAAACATTATGGAAGCTAAAACCTAAAGCAACATTGATTCATGCTCTGTATATGATCATGATCTGTACATTTAAACAATTTTAAATAAGCCAGTGAACACTCCCAGATCCATAAAATGTTGGTCTTTTACAGCATTGACTGTTGGTGAAACGAATAGAGTACAGATAAAGCTGTCCCAGGCATGGCGTCAAACTTCACACAAACCTTAAGTCTACTTCATTTAATAAATGGGGAAAATACTCTGAATCAATTTGCAGTGAGAATAGCATTACTGGACATTTATCAGTTTTAAAGGAAAAGTCTGGTCATATTCACAACTCAAACTTCTGAAAGTACTTTAAATATGAAATTATTACTTACTATTCAATAAATGATAAGTGTTTTTAATTAAGAGTAATTTCATTTGAATGTTCTTTACCCGAGACATCCATGTTAGTCAAACACTAATGCCACCGACCGGTTTCTGACTTCACGGTACAGTATCGGCTGTTGTCCCAGTGCTGTATCTGGTGTTTGTCACAACGCCCCATTATACAAATCATCTTGAAAACATTCTTTTTTGAACTGTTGGCTACATATTAATTCTTTCTCTGGCTGGAAGTTCGATGGCATATCCTCCCTCTTCAAGTTGGAAATCCAACGACCAGCACCGCAGTAATTTCAATGGTGAAATCCTCTCAAAATCTTAAATCATTTTTGATGATATCAGGTGTGTCTATTATTCCCACAGATTTTGCTTGTAAAGCGGGGAGAATGGCGCTAGGCTTACCACACCGTGACGTCACTGCCAGAACATGTCAGGAGTGAGGTGTTACTATATTTGGGCAAAAATGGCCACTCCCAGAAAATCATAAGTTTTATTTTTTTACTGATTACCCTAAACTCATTAAAGGCACACTATGCAACATTTTTCAGTTAAGTAATGTGTTCCATATCGTTTTGGATGATTAAATGAGTAATTTCAGGTTGGACAAAGGTATTCTCGGCCGCCCTGGTGGTCTGTGGGGGAAATACCGCACTTGCAATTGCAGGAGCACCGACCCGCACCCATAGGCTCAGAAGTCTCGCGAGAGTCGGTCTTGCTTTACGGCGAGAACTGCTACACCCCCCAGTTAAAAGCATTCTCGTTGCTAGCACAGTGGCGATCTTTGTGCAGTTATGCTACGTTCACGCAGCAAAAGCAGCAAAATCGCGTCTGCTGCTTCATTTTTGCTGCTTGTACCAGTTAGTTCTGACACGCGGCTGAAGCAGCTTTGCTGCTCTGGCTGCGCGGTGCAAAAGTGGGTCTGACGCGCGTTGGGCGGAGCTTCACTATCCTTTCTCTGCCTTGCAGCTATATTTGCTGTGATCAGTGGGAATAAAGTAGTTTTAATATGTGTTTAAGTGAGAAAATACACCTGAAAACGTAATCAGTGCCGTCAGTTCATTCAGATTATTATCCTGCCTTCAATATTTTTTCCGTCGGAGCCGCTCAGACCCCCACATACCAGCGGTGCGCCGACAGGAGGAATCCCTTCATCAGCAGCCTCTGGCCGGGTCGCCTCCTCGCGGTTCACCGCGGCAGCTGGTAGGTGTTTTTCATCTAAATAATCCAAACTGCATATTCTGCCGGCAGATTTCTGCATTTTAAGTTAATTTAGGCGTCAATAAACTGTTTAAGAGGAGTGATCATAGCCTCTGATCATCAGCGCTGTGTCTCTCTCCCTGCGTCAGATGATTAAACGCGCCCGACACACTGCTTCAGCTGCTCAGACGCGCTGCGCCTGCTGCTCAATACGCGCCGCGGGACCTTTTGCTGCGCCTTGACGCGCGTCAACCATTGACTTTGCATGTAAACTCGCTGCTTCTGTCGCGCCAGCTGCGTCCAGTGTGAACGCAGCATTAGTCATTCGTTGCGTTCGCCTGTCTGCTAAGCTCAAAACAACCGCGCCTGGCTTGACGGAGAAACCAGGAGAACAGCTGTGCATATTTACGACAGTGCACTTTTACTTTCACCCTCTGGGGGGAGCCTCGCTGGAAATTCAACACCGGTTGCATAGTGTACATTTAAATTGCCGCAAACATATCAGTTCTAGGTATAAATAATGATCCATTGATTATTTCTTGCTGACCAAACTTTTAATTTAATATTGGTAAAGGTTTTGGGGTTTTTTCAACTGCAATGTAAAGAAATATAAAATGGTTAACATTCTGAACAAATGTAAGTAAAAAATTCTTAATAATCCCAGCATATTAAGTTATGATATTTTTTCATTCAGACGCCAACATTGTTGTTTTGATAGGAAATCATCCAAAGGGTAATGAAGCCTTGGAAAGGGGGAATCAGTCTAGAATAGTAAACATTTGAGTTTGATTTCCTCTATATTTTAATACAGAAAAAGGATTGACAGGAATTATGTATACCTTTCTGAATAATCTGCTGGAAAGTTTGTCTACAGATTTATGTCAACTTCCACCTGTATTTTCAAGGATTTATTTTTAGGGATGAGCTCAAAGTCTTCGAGGATGAAAACAACTTTTTCTCCAATACCAAAATGTAGCTTAGTTATTTTTTTATTTTATTTTATTATTATTATTTTTTTATTTATTTTTTTTTTACAGATTTCTCAAACTGAAGCCAGAATTGTGACAAAACAACTAAAACATTAATAATGACTTTGTCACTGAAACTATAAGATTACTTTAAACCTGAATCTATCAGTGGAATAAATAAATCTGTTCTTAGTTTAAATTTTAAAATGTTAAGTTAATTACATTTTTTTTTCAATTAATAAGGATTATCATATCAAAAAGCAAACTACACATAATTTTGTCTCCTACGTTATGGGTGGCAGCTGTTATAAAACTGGAGTTAATAAGCCAGAGATGACTGGTTCCCTCTCAGACTTGGCCTGAAACTTTACGCTGCCTCCTGTTTTGTCTGGAACTAAAAGGTGTGAGCAAGGTTGTGAACTCACCTCGGAGGGCAGGGAGTAGAGAGCGATCTTTCCTCTCATCACATTTGTTGCATTCGCTGAAGTACAGCAGCAAGAACACGTCAACCAGCACCCACACTAAGGAGGTGGTCAACACCACCTTGCAGTAAACAAACCGACGCATCACCTCTGGGAAGTCAGTCAGTCAGCCAGACAAGAGGGATGGAGGCGAGGACCTTGGATGTCTCAGACAGCTGGAGACGTGTTTGATCACCGGAGGTGGGGGAAAGCATGGAGGGATGAGACGGAGCAGGTATGGCCAGGAGACATCATCCTACAGGATGAGGAAAAGAACAAATTATATCTGACAGTTTTTTGTTTTTGTTTTTTTTACTTAAAAATATGTTAAAGTGATAAACAACAGCTAAAAAACAGGAACAAATATTGAAAAAAAGAAATTAATCTTAAAGATATTTTATGCATTTTTATCCAACACCCTAGAGTCAATATTTTATAGAATCATGTTTTGTTGCAACAGCTTCACACAAACAAATGCAGTATAGTTTAAAGACCACCGGTAATTTGTATTTTAGTTTATAATTGTTTATGGACCAGAAATACTTTGGTGAATGTTGTTCTGTGCATGTGTGGTTCTTGTGTGCATGTGTGAATCGTTCTGTGCATCTTTGGATCTTGTCTTTTGTGTGTGTGTGGATTTTTTTGTGCTTGTGTGAATCTTTCTGTGCATGTGTGGATCATTTCCTGTGCATGTATTTGGGAAAAATGGGACCGATCATAGTGCAGCAGCATTCTTCAAGATGTACAGCAGTATTTGTTGTCCCACTGTAAGATAACAGACTCTCCCACTTGATTTTGCATCTCTGCAGTTTGTCTAGTTTCCTCCTGGGTGCTTGTCTGATAAGTGCTATCCTAGCCAAACAGTTTAGTTTATAGCTATAACTTGAGAAGATGATGGGTGAAAACAGATCTCTGTTGAAAGATGCTGTTTTTGTTTATCGTAACCCTGCTTTAAACTTCCCTACAGCTTATCTTTTGACCCAACTGCTACAGTATGCTCCTTGGTTTTCATTATGCTGTTTCTTCTATAATGTTCTAGAAGTGACCTTAAACGCCTTCAAAGAACAGCTGTATTCACACTGTGACTAAATTGGGGGAGTCTTAAAAATAATCAAATGACCTCTAAAGGCATTTAGTTAAACTGGATTTTATTCAGGTGTATCAAATGTAATGGCATTGAATACAAATCCAAACCCAACTTTTTGGTTTTGAGCCTTGAAAAATAATTTTCTTTTCATTTCAGATATGTGCTACTTTGTTTTGTTCAGTAACATAGAATTCAAATACAAAAACAGTCACCACTCTGATTAAGTCTCAGGGTTTGTGACACAGCTCAAATAATAAATTATGGGTCTATGCAATTCATGTCCATACAATTCATGTTGTGTGCAATATTCATTTGTATAGGGGTGTGGTTCTTTGTTGTTTTGGGGTGGAGGGAATCATTATCTTACCTCTGGTATAGAGCAAAGCCCTAAGGAGTGCAGCTTGGAGACAACTAATTTTCCTACAAGGGCAATGATGTGTATTCTATTTTATTCAAATACATATACAGAGTAGCAATTATCCATGTTATTTTTTTATTTGTTTCTTTATATTTTCATATATTCCTAAAAACCTGATTTTGTTTTCCTTCTGTAGGTCAAACCCAGCTCCCCATTAGTTTCTGTGCAAAGCTAATGTCACAATTAAGAGGGCAGAACACTGCTCACCTCAGTTTGTTTGGCAGAGACAAGCCTGTATAATTAGAGAACAAGGCAGATAACTGTGCCGAATGCCAAAACAGGTGGATGGAGCATGTTCAGTAATGTGGGGGGATCACAGCTTTTGGCAAAAGCAGAACAATGATGTCCAATCAGGCCAGAAAAATAGGGAGAATTTTTGTCCAAGTCCAAATGGCAGATGAGTCTCTGAAATACCAATGTTAAGCTTTTCAAATGCAAAACCATTTAGTCATGGAAAACAGCTATAAACTTTGTGTCGCTTTAGATAAATATATGACTTCTCAATGATGATTGTAAATCCCTCCTGGAGATGTATTAACTGTTGTTCACCAAAAACAGCCCAAGAATCATGCCATTTTTAAGCATTTTTTTTTAGCATAGCTGCTAAACCCAGACTAACAATAAAATTTTATAGTAAAATTTGGAAATATTGCATTCAGTGAACAAAAACCAAGCTTTTATTTTAAAAAGGAGAGCAGAAACAGAAATGTAATACATTTTCTTAGCAACCCAGAACCCTTTTGAATTTAAGTGATGAGTTATTTATTCCTCTCTGCTGTTTTGAAAGGATGGGATTGGATTATGTTTGTTTCTTCCTAAAAGTCTTCCTCTAGTTCATCAGAAGTGCTGGAACAACCATGAGAAGCTTTCATATCAAAAGCAGTTTGTGTAGGTTAGAAATCCTCTAGTAAAGAACCCGGGCCTCCCATTATTTTCTGATGAAAAATAACATAACTTTCCTTCAAACAGGATTTCCACTTGGTGAAAATTATAGAGTATTGTTGAAGCATAAATAGCACAGAAATATAAGAACTAAAAAAAATCCTCTTTCCCCCATCAAACGTCATGTACACATAATAATGTTTTTACAATGATTAAAATCATATAGAGCCAAACAGGCTTTTAGCTAGGAATATTTCATAGGGTGTACACCTTGGTGTATCACATCTTTAGGCTTTGTGAGGCGGGTATCCTACCCTGGAACATTTTGAAATATAGACTCTCTGAAACGCTATTGCAGTTTAAGGTGGAATGCAGCTAACTTTTTGTCTTTGCTATAACACTGCTTTTCTCCTGATTATGGGAACTGTGTGTGCTTGACGAGAGGTGGAAATTTCATGAGGAAGACATGATAACTTTTAGGTACAATGATATGTTTCATAGGTTAATTCAAATAATCAGAAAGTATAATGCTATGTTGACATCGTGATTTGAGCAGCAAAAAAAGTTTTGGTGCTTGTACACATTAAGGTCAGGTCCACTAAAGTATGTCCAGATGTGTCTCTGATGCTTCTGCTGCTCCTGTGTTCAACGGCAGAGAGCTGCTTTGCTATAATTGCTGTGATCAACGGGTAAAAAGTAGTTTTCATATATTTTTGTGCGAGAAAGTCCAACTAAAGCATCATCTGTGCAGTCAGTTCATCAAGATTATGATCCTGCCTTAAAATATTATTTTCACTGGGAATCCCCAGCAGCAGCTGCCTCAGGTCGTGTCGCCTCTTGGGGGTATTTCCCTTGCTGTTTGTCGCAGCTGGAAGTAGATGTTAGCATTTTTCAGGTAAGTGGTACAAACTGCAGCCATCAGAATAATAAAAGCCAGCATATTTTGTCGGCAGGTTTCAACGTTTTAAAGGAAAAGTCCGGTCAGCAAGGAATGATCAATGGATCATTGTTTATACCTAAAACTAATACGTTTGTGGTGATTTAATCAATTTAGCGTTAATCAGGAAAAAATATATAAATAATAATTTTCGTCCAATCACTGAGTCCCGCACCAGCCATCTTTGCCCATATATAGTAACATCTCACTCCTGACATCTTCCGGCAGTGACGTCACGGTGTGGTAAACCTAGCGCCATTCTCCCCGCTTCACAAAAAAAAATCAATGGGAGCTACTAGACACTTTTGTAATCAACATCAATTATTTAAGATTTCAAGAGGACTTCAACATTGAAATTTACCAGAGCTAAAGTTAAAATGACAATTCCCACATGCATGGCAGTTCGATGTTGTAATCAGAGATGGCAAAAGTACTCACTTTCCGTACTTGAGTAAAAGTACAGATACTTGTGTTAAAAAATACTCTGGTAAAAGTGGAAGTACTGATTAAACTTCTTTACTCAAGTAAAAGTAACAAAGTACAGGCTTGTAAATTTACTTAAAGTATAAAAGTAAAAGTAGAAACCACTTTTTTCATGCCGTTGCCTTCATTTTAAATGGATGTCTGCCAATAGGACTAGATCTCCGTTGTGTTCATTTTCAATCATCTTGTCGTCCATACTACTATGCTAACGCCTCCGCCACCAAGCTGCAATAATTTGCCACGAATGAATACCGCCGAATCTGTCGATTCATCTTGTAGTGGTGCGTCAAATGCAACGTAGATTCCCATCCAATTAGATTGAATTTGGTATTGATGAAGTGAAAAATAATAACGGTAACTCCATTGAAATGATTCAAAACTAAAGTAACGAGCCAATTTTTTAAAATGTAAGGAGTAGAAAGTACAGATATTTGTGTAAAAATGTAAGGAGTAGAAGTAAAAAGTCGCCATAAAAATAAGTAGTAAAGTAAAGTAAAAATATCAGAAAAATCTACTTGAGTACGGTAACAAAGTATTTGTACTTCGTTACTTCCCATCTCTGGTTGTAATACATCAGGTAAAAGTGAAACAAATTTGTTATTTCACCTTTCCCATTCATCATCCTCCAAGGACGGGTTCATCGTTGGATTGCCAACTTAAAGAGGGAAGATTTGCCATCGAACCTCTGGCCAGAGAACAAACACGTAATATGTAACCAGCATTTGGAAGAAGAATCTTTTCAAGATGACTTGTATAATGGCACGTTGACAAACACCAGATACAGCACTGGGACTTGATCAACAGCCAATACCGCTCCATGACGTCACAAACCATGGATGTCTCTGGTAAAGAACATTCAAATGAAATTACTCTTAATTAAAAGCACTTATCATTTATTGAACAGTATGTACTAATTGCATATTTAAAGTACTTTCAGAAGTTTGACTACTGAATACTGTACCACCGGACTTTTCCTTTAAGTTAAGTTGCTTCAGCTGTGCCATTCCTCTTTCTGCCAGCATCAGATCAACTTCTCTGATTGGTTGATGTGGCATGTTAAGCAGCAAAAGTAAAATTTTTCCAACTCCAGCAGCTGCTGCTGGGAAAATTTTTTACATCTGAGCAAAGTTTCCTTGGAACCACAGGGCCTACAATTTCTGATTTAAAAAAAAAAAAAAGGCCGTACAATGGACGGCCATACACATTTCTAGCTAAAGGCCTGGAGCCAAAGAGACTCTTATTAAAAGGCCAGTTAATGGAGAAAAGGATCTCAATAACTAAATAACATAACTGAGCCAAAAGACAAGCAAATTTGTAAGGTGGAAGAATGAGATGAAACAAGCTGACCTATGTGTTACAAATCTTTAAAATATGACATTATCAAAGTACCCTGTTATCCAATAGCTTTTATGCTATTCTTTTTTGGTCTGAATCCTAACCATGTCATAT